TGGGCTATTGTTTTACCTACTTTTGGGGGTTCAGGTAGGGGTGTAGGGTTTAGGGCTGAGGCAGTGGAAGTTCCCGGCTAGAAGAAAGGACCCCTAGCATGGTTGTGAAGGATCCTAAGACATGTTCTGCGCCTAAACCCTAAACCTTAGGAGGACCCCCCACCCTGTAATAGTGGTATAATAGGAATATAAGAGGACCCTAATATAATCCTTAATATCCTTTATAGCCAATATTACTGTGTGTGGGGGGTCCACCTAACCTAAACCCTACAGACTTCCAGATGGGCGATTACAAGCCCATGTTTATGTAGGGATCCATTCAAAGAATCTGGTTCCAACAACTACACAAATGGCGGCTTCAGATGGTAGTCGCCGATGGATCCCTCTAGCCTGAACCCCAAGACCTAGAGTTTAGGCTCCCAATAACCCTCCTCAAATGCTTAATCGCCCATACTACGGACGTATGACTTATGGTGGCCACCTTCAAGCATGGGTTCTGTGGCTATCTATTCCTTCCGGGCTAATTCAGGAATGCAGTATACAATGCGCAGGATGAACCTCAAAACCAGCTTCTAGATGACTTGGCCTTTAGCATGCCTGCCGCCATTCCACAAGAGTTTGGGCAGTCATCCTTCTCAAGACTAGAATCGACTAGGGATTCTAGTCACACCAACCCAAAAAATAGACAGTAGAAACATGTGAGCCATAGTCTAAACTCCTAGCATCCCCCTTTAATAAGCCCTATAGTAGTGCCCTATATAATCTCCCTATATAACCCTCTCTAAGGAACTCAAACTACAGCTCATGTAAGGCCCACCATGGCCCTTTTCCCACTCATTTGGGAACCCTAAACCCTAAACCTGAAACCTACAAACTATAACTTGCCCAAGCTGGCAACTGGTTTTGGGCCCTGACCTTGACGTACACTGAATAAACGCGAAACCCCAGCGGGGAGGGGGGTTTGGGGTATAGGGGTTTAGGGGTTTAGGGTTTAGGGTTTAGGGGTTTAGGGCGGGGTTAGGGTTTAGGGTTGAGGGGCTGAGGGTTTAGGGGTTTAGGGTTTAAGGTTTCATCACCGAGTTTAGGCTACCCCTGCCTGCTCCTTCGTCATCTCCTCAGCAGCCTGCGGCGTTCTTTGGGCTTCAGGTTTAGACCGAGCTGCAAGGTTATATAGGGGTATATGGGCATGTGTATATATATGTACACATATACATGTATACATATACATATATACATAGAGTGAGAGAGAGAGAGAGAGAGAGAGAGAGAGAGAGAGAGGGATACGAAGGGCATATGCGGTAGGTGATGATAAAGAAAACGGAAACTTCATATAGTTCAGGGATGGTGTTTAGGGTTTAGAGCTGTTGTTGGTGGTTGAACCCACGATGCGCTTAGCTCTTCTTACAAAATATACTATGACCCCAAGGAGGATGTACTCTTACTCGACTTCCGGACTGTAATATTCTCATTGAAAATGCTGGTCGTATGGAGGGTTGTCCAAATCATGGTCATGTTCGGGCCATACGAATAGGAGGGGCTGTAATGTACTGGGAGTCAAGCTGGGACGACACTTTTGACAACCCTCACATCTTGGAATTGGAGGCTTAAGAAGGGCTAGAGACTTACCCTCCCGGAAACTAACATGGAAACCCAAAAAAGGCCCTATAAAGGCTACAGCCCCTTTACAAGGGGCTATATGGGTTTCCATGTTAGTTTGGGGGAGTGTGGCGGCTCAGGCTTTTAGGCTTGGGGTTGGAGCTGATCATTGAGGGTTTCAAGCCAGTTCCCTTCCACAGCGCGACAGTTCGAATGGGTTATTGCGACTTTGGGGCTCAAGTATGTACTATATACATCTATATGAGCTATAGTCTCAACTCCTAGTATCCCACTTGAGAACCCCATATAGTACTCCCCTATATAATCCCCCATACTATATAACTCCTTTCGAGGAATTTAGACCATAGCTCACATGGACCCTGAGGGCTAGACGCTTAACATTGCTAATGTCTGCCCCTTCGCCCTTGCAGCGCCTCCTCGGTGAGTGGCGCTGCGGCCTCCGTCACCATCTCAACCTGCTTCCGGGCGCGTGCTTCAAATGAGCCATAATCTAAACTCCTTAAAGGTGGTTTATAGGGGGGGGGGTATTATATGGGCTTTATGATTTAGGGCTTAGGGTTTAGGGTCTAAAGTCCATCGAGGGGGTTAAATAGGGTATTATATAGGGGACTACTTTAGGGTTATCGAGAGGGATGCAAGGAGACTAGACTATAGCTCAGTTGAGTTTCAGGGTCCGTGTGATTCGGTCCTGGGATTCAGGGCTGAAGATTGAGAGCTTAGGATTGAAAGGATATAGAGTCTGGGGCGTTTGGATTTGGGATAGACTTGGGGTTCAGGATTGGGGTTCAGGGCATACATTCTGGGAACAAGGGCACAAAAGACGCAAAGCCTAGTAGCAGAAGGGAAGGTGCTGCTGGAAGCCACTCTTTTGCAGCTGAAGGCAACAGGACTTCGTCGCAAATCCATTTGCACGTGCTTTGGCAGACGTGCATGTGCTCAGAGCTTAGGACCTGGCACTTGCAACCAAGCGGGAGTGGTTGAAATTTGGGGTTCAGGGTGGTTTAGGGTTTAGGGTTTAGGGTTCAGAGGAAGAAACAAACACTTCAAGACTGGATGGAGGCTCAGATCCTGTGAGCAGGGTATAGGTCCTCGGTCAGGTCTACCTGTGCTGCAATCAGATGCCTCTCGGGCCGCCAGATGAGCGTTCCTGGGAACGTCATCACCTCCCCATAATTACCAGCTTCCCTATGCCCCAAAATTAGATGCCTCGAATAACTTCTCTATGTAGTTGAAAATACATATTTCACAATATTCATACACTATCGAAGCTCACCAAAAAAATTGTGAGAAGCTGAGATTTTATAGTTCACGCCGAGTACTTGGTGCATATCCAGAAGCTTTTGTTGAACAACTGTGAAGATCTAATTGTCATGGTAGCTACTGAAAGCCTCCGGGTACAACAGTCCCCCCACATACTAGAAGTACCCGATATACTAGCACAAATACAAATCTGGCCTGTTTTCGAAGTTATGGGCTCCTTCCCAGTTCCAGCACGGAACCTTTTTTGGTGCACATAAAATGTACCGTGTTTTCGGAAGACAAGGCATGTGTTGTAGGTGCCTACTGAACTAGCACCGAAAAGGGGAAGTTATGGATATCCTTCAGGAAGCCCTAAACACTAAAATCATCTCACCCTGAACCCTAAACTCTGAAACCCTCAACCCTGAAAACCCACTCCATAAACTCTTAACCCTCAAATCCTAAATCCTGAAAAACCTATGTCTTAAACCCTGAACCCTAAAACCCCAAACCCTCAACCCACACTTCGTGTCTGCGCAGGTGAAGCTGATTTGTCGCAGGGACTGCGCACCATGCTGGCAAAAGTTTTGCCCAAAATGAAACATACAACACCCTTCACGATACCTCTTCTGAAGACAAATTAGTATATTATACAGATAGTAGTTCCAATCCTATTTTCAATCATTCCTATAGTATACCTCTACATAATATATACCTTACAATCCCATTATAACCCATTATAATCGTTTCCATTTTCTTTTCCAGTATCCCTATAAAACCCATAATAGTAGTTTCCATTTTCTTTTCCAGTATCCCTATAAAACCGCAACATGGTAGTTTCCCAAAATAGGGGGACCCCAATATAGACCCCACAATACTATAGTCCTGATTATGGGGACCCCCAAAAGGGTACCCCCATATCAAACCCCAATATATTACAAAGAAGGCCCTGCCTCCTTCTCTGCCTGGGTGATCTTCTCACCTGCCTCTTGCAGCAAGGCGTTCTTCCTGGCATCGGTTTAGGGTGTAGGGTTTTGGGCTTAGACTTTGGGGTTTTGGGCTTAGCGTTTAGGGTTTTGGGCTTAGACTTTAGGGTTTTGGGCTTAGAGTTTAGGGTTTGGGGCTTAGGGTTTAGGGTTTTGGGCTTAGGGTTTAGGGTTAGGGGCTTAGACTTTAGGGTTTGGGCTTAGAGTTTAGGGTTCAGTGTATAGGGCCTAGGTCTTTTTGGGCTTAGGGTTTAGAGTTTAGGTGTAGGTCAGTGGGAAATGGAGCTGAGGGATGGCTGTGTAGGGCTAGTGAAGCAGCGATTACAGGGAGGATTTAGGCCTAAGGGCCTAGGGTTTTAGGGTTTGGAATTTGGGACTGGGAGATTTACAGGCAGGGAACTTTGTCTTCCGCAGCAAGTTGGAGGCTGAAGTTTGAGGGTGCAGGATTCTTGAGGCTAAGGATGAAACGATACAATGCTTGGCGCCATGGCCGTCTCCGCAAGGATCCCAACAGACAAATGGTACCTACGTTAGGCTCAAGCATTTGTATATATTACCTACATTATACTATTTGGATCCCTAGGGGTCTTACTCGCACTGCATTCTGCTCATATTTTGGAGGGTCGTGGAAGCACTATGGTTCCCACTCTGCGGGGCGTCAGGTTGGCAGGGCTGAAGCTTTACCAGGCATGACAATGTTTGCAGCCCAGTGAGAACGCGAGGTTCTGAGCTTGGTGCTCTGAGTATTGTGATGTGAGCCATAGTCTAAACTCCTGGTATCCCCCTTAATAAGCCATTATACTCCCCTACCTAATCCCCTGTATGACTCCCGCTTAAGGAGTTTAGACTCTAGCTCATGTGAATCAAAGCGAGTTCCCAGCTAGCGCGCTTGCTGCCGCTAGTTCTGGTGATTACATTTGCGCGCATCAATAGCCCTCAAACTTTTGGCTCCACGGCACGTCTAGACCCCATAGCCTTGAAAGCCTACTGATTCTCATGCCTGCCTTCATGGTGATAAGATCCAAAGAAACAAGCCTGCAATACTCCAATCCAGAAGCAAAATGGGCTAAGGGGAGGCGAGGCCACTGTGATGGATCCAGGTCTTCAATCTGGCCAGGGGCAGTCGGACTAAAAGTCAGAAACCGCTCGGGACCAGGCTTGCGCGTGTCGGTGTCCTTCTTGAACCTGGAGTTCAGGCCACCGCTCTGGATAATCGCTGCTCTACATGGTATGAACGCGTGGAGGGGCTCAAGCCCTCGACTGAACTAGGAAGCCCTAAACCCTGCCTGAGCCCGAAACCCTAAATCCGAAACGTTAAAGCCCCAAAGCCCAAAACTGCAAGTTCTGGGAATTTGGGAGCCAGGGCTCCTAGTGGCAAGGAGTGTAGGGGCTCAGACTTTACCAGTCCAAGGCCCTGACTTTCCACTGTCAAACAAGGGGGATAGGGTTTAGGGGGTTTAGGGTCTAGACAGGAGAAGCACAGACAATACTGGCTTAAGGGGCAGTGAATATGTCATCCAGAGATTCTGTGAAGACTAGTGCAAGAATTTTCCCAGGAATTGTTACACTGCCATTTCAGGAATGCAAAACCCCGCCCGACCTTAACCCCAGTATATGGATTCAAGGCAACTTGCTGCACTTCAGAGCACGGCCTTCCGTACATTCTCACAACGGATATCCACAACAAGATTAATTGGAAACAAGGAGAAGTTGAACCCCAAATTGGAGATGTCAGCGAAAGACTTTGGTGTAATGTTGGGAGTGTTGATGCACTATACTACTATAGCTCCTGAAGTTTATGCAGACATCTGTATCTACATGGTAGTTTCCCAAAATCAGGGGACCCCAATATGGACCCCAAAATACTATAATCTTTATTATTTGGACCCCCAAAAAGGTATCCATAATTTTGGGAAACTGCCACATATACGTATGTCTGTCTCCTTAGAGGGCTCTGCAGGATAGTGTCCACCAACCACATCTGACTCAGTATCCCAGTCGGCCCTTACGAAGGGCAAGTAGGGTTTGAAGCACAAGCATTCAATTCCAATCCACCCCAAGCTCAACCTGAACGTAAACCTGGACCACTGGGAAGATTCCAAAAATTAAACCTCAGTTTTGGAGGAAATCCTCCTTTTCACCAGAGTATCCCAGAAGGATCGGACTCCGCAAACAATTCTACTACTTCTTCCCTGGTAACTCGCCTGAAGCCTCATCAAATCCAATCTGGAAGCAGGCAGGGGCCCGTGCGACGCAAGCTTTGTGGCAGCTGTATTGACTCGGGCCGTCAGGGACGTCAGCTCCTAGCTAGGTGGACACACGATTTAGGCTTTAGGTTTTCAAGGGTAAGGGTTCAGAGTTTGGGCGCCCGGGTGATAGTGGAAACTGCCCCCACCATCTAGCTGTGGTGCGGTGCAGTTGGGCTTGGGGCTCGGGGATAAGAGATGAAAAACATACATCAGGATACTTGCACTAATGTAAAGAATTATCAAAGACTCTTACGATCGAAATTCTGATGAGGACTGATGTCAGAATTGCCAGAAAACTTTATGACAGAAACTCTGAAAGAAGGAATCATCAAGACTGTGTAGAGATTCCTAGAGTTCAGCGAATAATGGAGATTATGAAGATATTCAGACAACATCATGAGGAGCGAAAGAGAACCAACGCCCCGCCCGCCCAGGCTGGGGGTAGAGGGGGGGATCCCAATGGGGGGCATGCAAAACGCACGGCGCACAACAATATGTAAGGCCCTTGCTAAAGGTAATAAACACTGCAGTTGCAAGGTTGGGTGGATGTTTTTGGGTGGGGCAGCACCCCACGGATACACACACTGTGCATCCATAAACAAGAAGGTCCAAGGACCCAAATAATAGGGTTTTAGGGCCCCCAAAAACCATTAATCTTATGGTATTTGGACCCTAAAACCCTATGATTTGCGTCCTTGGACCTCTAGGGATATACAAGTACCATGCGAGCTTTGGAAGCTTCGGAGTGCAAGTCAAAGCTCGAGATGTAAGCAGGGATTGGCAATTCAGACTTTGGGTCAAAGTACGCAGCAAAGCGCAAAGTCTATAGTCCCCCTTAAGTAGATAGAATATGGGGTATATGGGGATCTTATTATAGTAATTATACCCAAAGCCATATTCTATCTACTTAAGGGGGACTATAACCCTAAACCCTAAATACTAGTTTCCATGTTCTTTTCCAGTATCCCTATATAACCCCATCATTAGCCTTATATTCTATCTACTTAAGGGGGACTATAAACCCCTAACCTGACATCCCATGGATCAGATCACGCACCCTTCCCATCAGCCTCTATGAGGGGCTTGGTCTTCTCCTGCAGCACTTCGCGCGGGAGCCCGGGGTGTTCTACAAGTATCAGTAGCATGCTTTGGAGCATGCCGAGGCTGTCTGCAAGCCTGATTTACACATCATTCTGAAGCTTCGACATGATGTAGACCCCTACAGCGGACGGACTCAAGTTGAAACTTCACGAGGGATTGCTGCCTTGTCAGAAAAGCCTTTCAGCTCCACATTCTTTGCCGCGATGAAGTTCCTTGCCTGGCATACTGCAGCTTTGTCATCCCAGACTTGCAGGTTGAAAGGTTAGCAGGCCATCCCCAATGCACTACCCCTTGAAGGTTCCCCGTTTCTTAGTCTTAACTAGCTGTAAGTAAGCCAAGTTCAGGGGAACCTAGACAGGATAGAATAGAGGGTGGCGTAGGGAGCCAGGGAACCCACCAAAGCGAGGCGGACCGCGGAATTGCATGGAAGACCTCTCATGAGCTATTGAGGGTTCAAAAACACCTAATCGAATGTTTCTGCTGGAAATGACGAGAAGGCGAAAAAAACACAAGTTGCAAGCACGCGTTGTATGAAATTATCGGTTTGAGGGATCATTGCAACCAGCTTGCGCTCCTACTCTGTGTATGTGGCAAATTATGTTTGGACAAAACTCCTCCGACAACCCCATAAACAAACTACAAGTTATGCAAAGTCACCGTGAACAAACCATGTGCTGGCTGTCTTGACATGCTGGTCCCCCTTTTCCAGTCACACTCGCACATGCGCGCACACTCCCCAAGATGAAGCACCAAAACAAATGGGAATGAAGAACAAACTGATCACCTCCAAGCAGTTGCCGAATGGGTGCTACAATATCTGATACCGTATAAACCCGTATAACCACGAAGTCAGGCTTCACAACTGCCCAATCAGTAGCACAATTGTTCGGGCGCTAAATCCGTCTAAACCCCCCAGAGCACGCAGGGCCTCGGCAATGGCATTCTGGAGATCAGTCGCTGCCTTCTGGGAAGCATCAATCGTGGAAGTGGCCTGGCGTACGAACTGACGCCACTGCAAGTTCTTGGGTTCAAGAACTTAGCAGGGGTTAAAGACCTCAAGGAATGCAAGGCTAGATGGGTCAAACAGCCCTATCTTAAATAGAGAGTGCAGCAAGTCGGATCAGTGACAGACCTACTTCATGAGCTTTGTAGATGCTCTTCTGGGTCAGGCGGCCCCATCGCCCTAGCGCGAGCTAACCTCTGCCTCTTCCCAGCCCTCTAATGAGACACACTCGCGGCCTTACGTACTTCGCCTTGGGATTAATTATGTAATTATATGACCCATAGTCAAAACTCCTTAAAGGGGGTTAAATAGGGGACTACTATAGGGGCATTAATTAATTGAAGTTAAGGGAGCGGAGCATCCCATTGGAGGCCTCTGTCAAGGGCAAGACCTCGATGCCCTTCAAGAACGGCAGCTCGGCATCGTTCACCTGTCGCCGGCGACATAAGCTTAACCACCCAGAAGGCCCAGAGTCACGTCAGGAACAACCTGAAGCCTTCAAGGCCGTGTTTTGGGATTTACTTGGCCCGCTTGTTTAGCAAATCTGTCGAAATCTTGTCACAGTACGGTCAATTCGCCGGGGTATAGGGCCGGTAGTACACTTGACTTGAGATCACATGCGGCAAGCAGGCGCTGACGCTCATGCAAAACTATGGTTCTGGGCTGACAACATGGACACATAAGTCTTAGGGAGGCCTCAAACAGCAGTCCTCCTAGCCAAGTGAAATGGCAGTGGACACCGGACAATTTTTTGGCATCATCTGCAAGACCATCATCTTGCTCAGAGCTTGCTTGCACGTTGCAACAAAAAAAGATCCACATCTCGCAGTCAAGCTGTGTTCACGCGATACTTGTTCTTTACAGCTGTGGTGTCTGTGAGCCTTGCAACCTCACGAGACCTCCGCGCCAGCTGCTTGCGTGACTGGTCTACCTTCTTGTCAAAATGGTTGTCCAACTTCAGGTCCAGCTTCAGCTCTTGAAAGCGATGGTTGCCGACAGCATTCATCAGGGCTGTGATCGCCGCTTGTTTGGATTTACTTGATGCGCAAGCATATCGCGCAGAAGTCGCTCGGTCTCATCGCCACGCTTGGCTTTGGCCATGGATCTTATGGCCATTGTATAGTCAACAACGGTGGGGCCTTCTCTGGCTGGCGATTGTTTGCTGCTGCACCAATGAGGGCATTCAGCATGATGAATGTTGGCTTCAAATCGGGATTGGCTTGCAAGAACTCTTGATAAACAGCCTCTGCCGCGCCGAGGTCGCCGTTTGCTTTGGCTGCAGCTATGAGGGTTGAGTACGGAACGCTTCCGCCTGCCATTCCGGCCTCCTTTGCTTTCTGGAACCAATGTCTGGCGGCGACCATGTTGCCGCACTTCGCAGCTGCACTCATGACCTGAGCAAACACAACACTGAGGCACGGTGAACGACATTGATTTGACCTTGGAGCATTACCTGCTACTTGCCAATAGTGCAGAGTGCACAGTACTTGCAACATAAGCGCGATCCAAGGTGCAAGATTGCAGGTGATCTCTGTGGGCTTTAGCCCTGCAGCCTGCAATCTTGAAAACCACAACTCAGCACCAGAAACGTTCCCGGCCATTGCAGAAGCTTTGATCAAAGCACCATACGTGGCGACAGTGGGCTTAAGCCCGTATCGTTTCATGTCGTCGAAAGCCGCTTCTGCAAAGCTAATGTTGCCCAGCTTCGACCCAGCAGAGATTACACTATTGAAGATGAAGACGTCAGGCATGAGGTCGTAGTCGAACAGCCGTCCAAACCAGTGCACCGCCTGCTTGATGCTCCCACAATTCGCAGCTGCAGTGATCATGCTCGTGATTGTTTGCCCTTCCACCCTGAAACCTTCTTGACACAGCAAGAGGTCGAACACCTCCTCGGCGAGCGTCAGGTCTCCTTCATCTGCGGCCCGGTGAAGTTGGGACAAGAGATCTCCAATGAAGGCCCCACGTTTGTGCCGAATCTGCGCCTTTCTGGCAGCAGCCTCCTTCTTTCCTTGGAAACGAACCTTCTTCTTCTCCGGGCGCACTCTTCGCAATACCCTGGAGTCATGCCTCTTGTTGCCGTTGAGCGCACTTGTGATCCTGGAAGGCCCGAAGGCCCAGTCTATGCCCGGCACACGCAGCCACAGGAACAAAATGAGGCCACCCAACGTGGTCCTCCCTGCAGCCATGATGCAAAAGCAAAAACCTCTCTTGCAGCTCGCGAAGCTTGAGCACAAAAGGACTTGTGTTTGGGAGGGTCATATTGAATCCGATTTATTTTGAGCATCTGACCTGAGCAAGGTAACTGATGAAAAACTAAACACTTCACGCCGAACTCTTGTTCACGGTTTCCACTACTCTTGCGGTTCCTGGTATACTCAGAAAGCATAATGCAAAGGACTGTTGCTGTCAGTTTTTCTGCGGCCAGTACTGCCTCAGCAGACAGCGAGCCTTCTCCACAAAGCTGTCCACGGCATCTGTCTTCTTCTTGCCTTCCCGCACGTAGGCCTGGCACGACTGGCACCCGTGCAGTGCAACCATCCCAACCCTATAGTCCCCCTTAAGTAGATTGAATATGGGGTATATGGGGATCTTAGTATAATATACCCAATGCCATATTCTATCTACTTAAGGGGGACTGTAGCTCAAAACAGGATAGGGAGTGAACATGTAAGTGGCATGAAATGAAGACAACGTTGAATATATGAAGACCTCTATGTCCCACAGGTTGTTGAGTGACATGCAACACACTCCCCAAAACGAGCGTTCTCTTGAAGCACAGCAAAGCGCACTTCGCTGAGTGACAGGCTGGGGAACCAATCTGACTGAGCAGTGGACAGTTTCCAAAAAATTGGGTCACTCTGCACACGTCGTATAGACTCTGATCCCTCTCCGAAAGACTCCAGAATTCAAAGCCCCAAGCCAAATCCATGTACAAACCTTATTCCCTCAACCCAAAACCTCGTACTCCGCCCCTAAACCCTCAACTCTCCCTGTATGCCTCGCCCAGGGATCGCTCACGGAGCCCCTTCTTGCCAGCCTCTGCAGACAGTTCGTAGGCATATAGGATCACCAGACTTAGAGCTTAAGGTGTCAGGGCTTTGGGGGTTTCAGGGTCTCAGGTTTTAGAATGGATTTGTTGGTTATCTTGTTTTTCCTGTTGTTCATGTTGAATATAGTCTGCTATTGACGATGACAGCCTCAACTCCTCAACAGTTACAGGAACAGCCTCGAAACCTGATCAACTCCCATTCAGTCTCCACTTCCCAAAACAAGCCTAGGCAGACATGTTACGAAACACGTGTCTTATCCATAGTGGTACTGAAGGAATGTTGGGACATTGCTTGCTGAAAGCTTGCGTTATCCCTACCTAGAAGAAAACTTACAGTGTTACAGGTGCTCAGGGGAGAGTGAGGGAGTGCATCCTTATACGACTTCCTAAATAATCCCAGAAACACACCCCAAAAATGCTCCTGATATTCATTCCCCCAATCCCCTTTATCAAGCAAAAATGGGGCAAATTCTGAGCTCCCAGCCAAGACCTTGTCCAATCTCTCCTGAACCTTTTTGCTGCGCTCGGCGACCTTTGAAAAGGATGCCTGACAGCGTTCACATCAGATCAAGGCAAGTAACGCTGATTCCTTCCATGGGAAAACTGGGCTCCAATGTCTCTTTCGCAACTAAACTGCACAGGCTTAAGCTATTGTTCTGCCTGATGGCAATCTGCAATCTGCAGGGGCTAGCAACTTCTAAGCATGCACACCGCGTAAACCGGGGGTGCTATGGGAACGGACACACGACGAGAGGTTCTCAAAACAGGCCCTACAATATCCTCAGGACCCCCTTACTCTCCGTGCGCCTCTATAAGGACCCCTTTTTCGAGAGCCCCCATGTCCGGGGACCTTCAGGTTACGGTGTAGGGCTTCCGGACTCTAAGACTAAGCTGTGTTCTCGCTTGTACACCCCATCTGCCCCAGGCCTTCATGGACGCCACCGGTGTGGCCATGTGCGCCTGGATCGACCTGCACACTCATCGCGTGGTTTCCAGGCAAGTAGGTACGTGGGTAGTTCCCAATCTTAAGGTCCCGTTTTGGTACCCCTAAATATTAGGTGCTAAAAAAGGGGCCCATAATTTTGAAAAAAGACATCCCATGTTGCGAAACACGAGTGTTGTCTATAGTATTGCTTTTACTCACCCGTTTTAGAAGATTGGGTCTTGGGAATTGGAAGAGTCAGTCTGCATGAAGAGGGATGAAGCTACAAAAGGCTCATGTCCTAGTTCGAACAAAATTGTCATCGACTGAGCTTCATGAGGACCATGACCGGGTCTTCCATATGCGCTTTGTCGGGGTTCTTTTGGGGCGGTAGCCGGCCAAAGCATCAAAGCTAAATGTGTGTAATACGCCACTTCCGGCCATAGTAAGTTGCAAGTATAACTAGAACCCTTAGTCAGAAAAGAAAGTCCTCTGTTGAAATCAAGCACTTGAGCACAAACCCTCAATCCCTAAACCCAGTTCAAGCCCTGGCCTTATCCTAAGTACACCTACTTCCATTCCCTAGGGATCCATGTATGTAAATAATCCCTACATTGGGCCCCAAAGTCTGTAAATATTACCTGCATTGGGCTATTTGGATCCCTAGGGGAATTCAGCCTAAACCCTAAGCCCTAAACCCTAAACCCTTAAACCCTAAACCCTAAACCCACCCTAATTTGGATCCCTAGGGATTGTCTTGCAGCACAGGCACCCAGTTGTTGCTTTGATCGTGTTCTGAGCAAGGACGATAGCGTCACCCAGCTCCGCACACTCCTGGGGCTGGGGAGGGGGAAGGGGGGGGGGGTGGTTTAGGGTTTAGGGTTTAGGGCTTAGGGTTTAGGGTTTAGGGTTTAGGCTGGGAGGATCTAAAAATTAGATCCCCCAAAATAAAGCCATGATAAGCCCTATATAATCCCTATATAATTCCCCATAGTCTTCTAGGGGATCTAATTTTTAGATCCCTTTGGGGGTCTGGGTGGGGCTTTCTTGAAACCTCTCGCTCTTCGTTACTCTGGTTAGTGAGGAATGAAGGAGTGGACCGCTATCTGATGCATTGTTCTTAGGAACCAACGAAATGTTCAGCTCGCTTGTACCCTACAAACGAGAAGCAAGCCTCCTTGCGCAGTTATGGAAGGACCATTTGACTGGCCACAAGTTATAAATATTTCAATTCCTGGAATGAAGCCATTAATTGCAAGGCCGGCTGGCTTTTCATGCAGGCCGCAATTTGGGGTGAGGTCGGGTGAGCTCACTGCGATTTGCCCAGCTGTATGGAAGAGCAAGGGGTTCGCTGAGATGAAGCATTTCAGAATCCTCAGCTGAGCAAAGATCGACTACGTTTTGGTCTGTATGGAGCTAAAACTGGTCTAGGGTTGGGGGTTTAGGGTTTAGGGTCCGCGAGGACTGCTCAATTAGATGGATCATGCAAACTATCAGGATCAAATGCATCTTCCCACCTCAAGGCTTTTCTCCAGTTGTGCAGGGGTGTAAACAAAGGCGGATTGATTCAAAAGCTTACACCCGATCAACTATAATAAAATAAAACATGACACAATATATTCTAATAAAATATACCAACTCTAATATGCTATATTCTCAAGTCGCTCAAAAAGAGAGAGGAAGGGACCAAATGGGACTCCAGGATGCCTCCTGCAAATCATATTGGGTACAACATGACAAGCATATTGAATGTTTACCTCAGCTCGAACGGGCATGAACTAGAGGCCCGAAGCTTAAACACCCCCAAGTTTCTTCCATGCCTTCGAAAAAAGTAGCAACCTGTCTGGGCCCTCTGACCTCTGCATTAGGACTAGGTGTAAAGGATTGTGATGAGGATGCGCGCTGCCCGTGGTGTGCTGAAATGTTCAGAGGAACATTGCAGGCTGTAAATGCTCCCTCACAATGCCCCTGTTGTAAGTGAGCCTTCCAGAGCTCAAGCATGGCTTGAGAATGCTAATGGTCATGACGACTGCGGCACAAAGCACAGCAACACCCTAACCGCGCGGGCATTAACAAGCACAATAGCGAAGGGCAACTTCAGCATTTCTCAACATCAATATTCACACTCCAAAACGGAGAGAACCCTTCTCTCGGGGTTTCCCCTAAACGGGAACCCCAACACTCTGGCAAGATCTTAAAGCCCTAAGCCTGCAAGTCTTCAGCTTGAACCCTGAAACCCATTGACGCCCAAAAACTCCGGACCTGAAGTCCAAAGCCCCGAACCCAAACAAAGCCTCAAACCCCAAATCATAAACCCTTAACCCTAAACCCTAAATAGTAGTTTCCACTTTCTTTTCCATTATCCCTAGATAACCCCCATATTATAGAGGCTATACCCTAATCCCCTCATGAACCCTAAACCACTGCCCTAAACCCCCTTGTCCTCATCGGTGGGGTTGGCCACGGCCTCGACAGGCTCGGCAAGCTTCTCCGCCTTGGCCACCTCTTTGACTCAACGTTTAGGGTTGTTAGGGGTGATTGGGTTCAGGGCTTGTTTGGGGTCTTCGATTTTCAGGGTTTTTGGGCTTAGGGCTTAAGGCTTAGGATTTGGGTGTAGGGCTTAGGGTTCAGGGCTGAGGCGAGGTTTAGTTTGGGGTTTGTGATCTGGGTTCGGGGCTAGGGTTGAACGTTTAAGGCGTCCAGGGCTTTTTGTCTGAAGCATGTAGGGAGGTGGACCAGAAGTCTTGCAGGCTCCTAACCCTAGACTCTAAAGTCCCTAAAGACGTTATCTGGGGCTTCAGTCGGGAAGGTGGTGCACCTAAATTGTCAACCCTAAAGCCCAGTTAAACATGGATAAAACGGTGAGTTGGTTCGTTAAAATACCTGAACGTTGGTTCCGTTTGAGCGCCCCCATACCTCAGGATTAGGTGAACCCCCACCCAGTAATAGTGACTATCAGGGATAGCGATGACTACAGTAAGGTCCTCTTATTATCCTATTTTACCACTATTACAAGGCGAGGGGCATACCCCTAAACCCTAAACCCCAAGCCTACACCCTAAACCCTAAAACCCAAGCCCTACACCCTAAAACCCAAGCCGCCCTACCCGTCAACTTCTTCCTCGAGCCTCGGCTTCTGCTTTGTCGACGTTGCCCATCTCCTCAGCCAGCGCCTGGAAGTTCTTGCTGGAACAAAGAACAGTAATACTAATAACTGCAGCAATAATACTAATAATGCACATATGAGTAACAATAATAATTGTAGTGATTCTAGTAATAGCAGTAGTAATAACAGTAACACTACTAATGCTGGTAGGAGGCTTTAGGTCTGTTCTGCTGTAATGCTTGAGAGCTTAGGGCCTAAGATTTAGAGCAATCTAGGGCGGTTAAAGGGCAAATATGGGGGCTAGGATTACCAACGTCCTCGGAAAGTTGTTGAAGGTATTTGCAGCTTCCATGCAATCTGAGCTGTGTGCTTTACAGGCATGTGTGACGGCTTGCCGCAACTCTACACCCCCCCCCCCAAAGTTTGCAAAAGCGATCTCACGTGCCATGAGCAGCTCCTCTTGTTTCTCGCAGGACTTATAACCTCTGGTTAGCAGGGACTGAAGGAACGGGAAAGGGCATTGCTGATTATCAAGGGGCCCACTATGGGATGCATTTCTCCATTAGCTAAGGACAATCAGCAAGAGAAACGGCGGGGCTACTACTGCAAGGATGTAGAGGGCGTCTGAAGAGAGGGAAGGTAGTGGAGGTCACCTTTAATGCCTCGTAGTTTGCCGACTCCCGGCCTTTATTAATCAGGAAAAGGGACAACAGCAATAAACAAGTCGGCATTGGGATGATCCTTGTGAGGTGTAGTGGCAGCCACCAAAACCGTATTCCGAAATCTCAGAACTGAGGCCCTTCTTTAAACTACATAGCAGTAGTGGGTGTGGAATGATTTTGAGAGTTGCGCGGTCAAATATGGGGCCAAGCAGTCCTATCATTGACTTGTAAATTCCCATCTGTCCTTGGCTTTAAAATCTGATTCGGGAGCCATGACCTATTACTGAAGCCCTCGAACCAAACCTTGGAAGTCCTAGTTGCTGAGTTCCCTGGCCCCAAAAAGGTTAACCTTTGTAATATAATAGGGTTATATGTACCCCAAAAGGTTAAAGGTTACCTACCCAGCTACTAAGAAGTACTCCAACCTCGCATGATTCAGCGTTGCCTCTTTGCCCTTGAGCAGCTTGTCGCCATAGGTCGAGGCCTGTTTTTGCTCCAATGTTACTTGGAGAACAGGTTGTGACGTGAGCTTTGGTTATAAGTAAGACTGCTTTTTCGCTCGCTGTTCTCGGACCCTACATCCTAACCCTGGGTCATCTTCATCTCACATATCAAGTAGATGAATGCTTTCATGGTTCTTCTATATATGTGTCGACCACTTGTTCGACCCATTTTAACAGGATCCTTGTCATGTGACTCCCAAAATTGGACTGCTCGTCTTTGGAAACTCTCAGAATGGGGCTTTGGATTGAAGATGCGGGTCTCAGGCTGCAGCATGGGTTTGGGGCTTAGACGATGCAGTTCAAACGTGAGGGTTGCTTACGAAAGGTGCCTTATGAGGACCGGATGGTATACATAATAGTATATTTGATTTCTGTTGTAGGTGGTTCCCTAGGAAGGATTCTTTAGGGGTGGTTTCATGCAACTCCCACAGTGGTCTACAGCAATCTACAAAAGCATGAAAAAAGCCTACAGTACCCGAGTTCTAACTATACCGAGTTCAGTAGGTCCCTGAGTACGCATCGCATCATCAGCGTACAGCTTTCCGGTTTTCTTTAATATGTATATGTAGGAAGAGTTTGCACAACATATTTTTTGCGTTGGTTGTAGTATCTTACAGCAGGAATAATCTTCCAGACCACCGCAACCAACATTCCTCGACCGGGGAGGGCTCGAGGTTTTGGGCTTTATGGCAAACCCTCTCATCTGGAAGAGAAGCACAAAACCCTGAACCCTGAACTCTTATCACTGAACGCTAGATGTCCCTAGAACCCTGTTCAAGGTACCTAAGGGCACCACCCCATGCCGAGGAGAACCCCAAACCTTCAACTCGTACACTGCACGGCACCCTTTCACTCCAAGTTCCTTGCAACCCTGTGGTTCTTAGACCTATAAGTAACAGAAATTCAGTATGTGCCGAGGGAACTTCCAGTATTGGGACCAAAGAGAAACCCCCATGAAGAGGAGAAACCCCCACCCTAAACCCTAAAACCCGCAAAACCCTACAACCCTAAACCCCTAAAACCAAAACTCAAACCCAGAACCTCTACACCCTAAAACTCTAAACCCCTATACCCTAAGCCCGCAACGCTAAAACCTAACCCCTAACCCCTATACCCTAACACCTGAACTCCTTAAACCCTAAACCCTAAAAACCCAAAACCCTTAACCCCTACTGCCTAGCCCCCGAACCCCTAAACCTTTTCTCCCTGGTGCTTAGGAGGGAATGGGGGAGTGGATTATAGAGATTATTATTAGGGATTCTATAGGGATTACTATAGGGATCCATTCCCCCATTCCCTCCTAAGCACCAGGGAGTTTACCCCTAAAACCCCACACCCCAAAGCGGAGCCTTCTTGTTCTTGGCCAGTTCGTCTGCCGCAGTCTTCAGCCGGCCTGGCATCTGAAATCCTAAGTCGCATAACTTTTAGGGTTTTAGGGCTTAGGATTTAGGGTTTGGCGTTTGGAGTTTAGGGTTTAGGGTTTAGGATTTATGGTTTAGGGCTTAGGGTTTAGGGTTTAGGATCTAGGGTTTGGGGTTTAGAGTTTAGTGCTGAGAACTGGGGGTTACATATGTATATGTATATATGCCTATAAATCTAGGAACTGTAGAAGGGACCCCAAGTAGGGACCCTTAATCCTATTACCAAATATAACCCTTATATAGTCAATATACAACACCTATATCCCAACGTAGTCCCCATATTAACGCCCCATAAGCTACAAGGGTCCCTATTAGGGGTCCCTCCAAAAGCCCCTAGAATATATGTGTAGGCTTTGTATAACGAAAAAATGGAAGCTACGAATGTATATATAAATGTATACATACATATTCATGCGTATATGGTATGATGGAACACAAAATGGAAACTTTTACGTGATTTAGAGTTTGGGGTTTCACTGTAAGCCCAATTACCTAGAGCTTCATGCGTCATCCAGTTGTACCTGCTAAGCCAGGGGTAGCTGCTAGTAAGCTGTAGGTACTTGGGGTCATAGGTTAAGAATACTTGCAGGCCATACGCAGTGATGGGAGGGTTTAGGTTCTGTTGGGGTCTGGAGTGTAGGCTTCCGGGTCTTGGAGGTTCAGTGAAACTATAGCCGACGCAAACTTCAGGGATAAGCTAAGTATGAGCCCCCTGTCCCCTAATCGCTTCTATGTGACTTGTGTTTACAATCACAGTAGTAGGCTATAGTCATAGATGCAGTGATGCTTCAATACACCTGCCTCCTACATGCTCTTAATACTGAAGTGCCTTGAACCTCAACAATCATCCCCTCCTTCTAATATTAACACCCCCACCCCCCTCATATCAAATACTCCAATTGTGGTATATTATATTATCTTGGGAATATCTATGCCCAGCATAGATCCAGTTATAGTATCATCCACCTTAGAGCAGGAACCCCAAAGGGGGACCCCTAACTTTGAGGACCCCCTAAACCCTCAGCCCTAGCCCGCAAGTGTTTTCAAAAGGACGGAGAGCGGAGAGGCGCTCGAACGTTCAGGGTTTTCGGTTTGCGGCAGCGGGATCATGGATTATAGTCCCCCATAAGTGGATAGAATATGGCTTTGGGTATGTTTTACTAAGATCCCCATATACCCCATACTCTAGCTAGTTAAGGGGAAGTATAAGAGTGTAGCGCTGCATGATGTGCAAAGGGAACCCTACCTTCAACTACCACCTTCTGGGACCACCCGGACTTCACATCCCCTTCACATCATCCCCATCTGATCAAACCATGGCCCCATAAACCCTCAAATGGCCCCTGGGTTTGGCAAGCATCCTCCACAGTCAGTCTTCCCAAAAGATCTCTGTCAAATGCCATGTAAGCCCATGCAGCCCCTATACGCTCAGCCTCTGATACCCTGAAAGAATATGAAGCCTTTTGCTTACAAGGGCTCCGTACCCACAAACTTCTCAAAACTAGCCATGCAAAGTCTTGAATGGTACCTCCGGACACCATGACATGGCCCCTTGTTAATTCCCCTCTACGAACCAAAAGTTCCAAAACAACCCCATGTAGCGCCCTACAACCTCATCCCTAATCTATAGATCATCCTGTCTTCTATAGCTCTTTACAGCCCTTGAACAGGGAGCTAAGAGCAATATTTTCAAATCCCCAATTCCAGAAAATGTTGAGGGCAATGAGCCTTGCAGCTTGCTCATAGCACCGGCTGCCTGTGGCCCCTCGCAAGCTGCATAGATGGTAGGTTTTGTTTGATGAACGGGTTTAGACTGTTAGGGTTTAGGGTTAGGGTTTAGGGGCTTAGAATTTAGGGTTCAGGAACTAAAGGGTTTAGGGTTTGCAGTTTCGGAGGCGTTTCGGCCTTGGGAGTTAAGTGCGCGGTTTGAGGTTTAAAGCTGAGGGACTTGCTTATACGAGGTTTCTGAAATTGACATGATCTATGGCATTGACATAGAGATAAGTCGGGGGCGTCTGCGGTTGAGGTTTAAGGCTTCGGGACTCGAGATATGCCTGTCGGCCTAAACCCTATAGCAAACCCTGACTAAACCCAAACCCTATATCATACCCTAACTCAACCCTAAACCCTCAACCCTAAACCCTATAGTAAACCCTAACTCAACCCTAAACCCTATAGTAAACCCTAACTCAACCCTAAACCCTAAACCCTATAGTAAACCCTAACTCATCCCTAAATCCTAACCCCTAAGAAAAGAAATTTTCAAATCCAACCCTGCAAGCTCCCACCAGGAGCTGCTGGGCCTAAAGGGTAATGTCCGTATTCCTATAGATCTAACCCCAATATACCCTCTGTATAACCCCAACCCAATATAACCCCAATATAACCCATATACATATATATATATACACACACTCTTACTCAGAATCAGCAACAGACACAGCTGAGCCTTGACATCGCGCTGCTTGACCGCCAGTTGCTTGCGCGCCTGGCCGCTCTTTGGATTTGTGGCTTAGGGTTTAGGGGTTTAGGGTTTTGGGGTTTTGGGTTTAGGGTTTAGGGGTTAGGAACGGTTAGGGGTTTAGCCTTTGGGGTCTAGGGTCGAGGGCCTAAGGGTTTATGGCAAGAGCTTGGGCAGTTTTAGGTTTAGGTGTCGCATGTTTCTACTCAGGGCACAATCTGATCCCGACGTGGTAGGGTTTAGGGTTTAGGGTTTAGGGTTTAGGGTTCGGGATTTGGGTATTACGGTATATTGCTTCCATGCTTCTGCTTGCTGGACGCGTCTGTTTGTGCGTCCAAAGGTTCAAGGCGCGTCAGGAATGCAATTGCCGGAGTTAGCATTCTAGCCTAAACAATCTGAATTGAAAGAATTGGATATAGAGAGGACCCCTCCTCTGAGAAATGCCTGGCTACTGTCATTGCACACGAGAGGCAAAAGAGAAACGCGAAACAAAATCAGGAACTGAATGTGGAGCGGAGCCCAGAGACAAAGTTCCTTAATTTGGCTGCCAGCGTCCAAACTTCCAACACCTCAGCCCAAAACCCTGGACCCTGAACCTAACTCAAGGTAAGTTGCTGTGAGGGGAGTGGCCCAACCTAGATCCTACTGTAACCCCTCAACGTACTTCAATCCTTCAATCTCTTCGCTCTCCACGCCCTAGGGATATACACATCCTGTATCGCAAGGGAGCTCACAACGATCCCCCGCAAAGAATTCATGGTTTGCATTTGGCTGAGAACATCCATTTGGGCAAAGGCCTCAGCCACGGCTTTAGCCGCCTCCGTCTCCACGTCTCCCACCTCTTCTGCTAGTGGGACCAGTATTGCAGACTGAGAACGCAAGGTTTGAGGTGTGCTTCGGGGTGAACTATAACTAGACTAGGACCTTGAGCTTTCTGGCGTCAATTGTGGGAAACCTAAAAACTTAAGTAGGGGCTGAGTTACGCAGGGGCGGTTTGGGCAGTCCAGGCTGTTACCTTGCGTGCGTTAGATTTAGTGGTTGGGGTTTGAAGGTTCAAGGGCAAGTTCTCATTTTTGCCAGACACTTTCCGCTAACAATAAACCGAAAAAATCCAAGCAATGCCTTTCTCTAGGTACATACACTATTTAAACAAGAACGCAGCATCGAAGGCTGGGGTCTTGGGTCCATTCGGTCCCAGAAAGGTTTAGGACGTAGGTTTCAAAGTTTAGTAAAAAGTTAACCCCAGACCCTAATCAAACTCTAAACCCAAGGCCTAGGCGCGCTCCGAAGCTATGGATCATGGAGCAGCTGAGAGGCAGCGCATTCAGACCCGCAACTCTACACCCCAAAGCCTCAATCCTTGACGCTTGATAGACGCCATCTGGCATCGGCATGCTTAATTGCAAGGTGATCGCCTGCAGCTGGAGTAGGCCTTATGTAGATGGACCACTGGTGTATTCATCAACGCTTGCTTCACTTTGTCAACCACCCTGCTGCTCTGCTGCACAGCAGCCCCTGCTGTACCTCTGTCTTCATCTCTTATCTTCCGCAGAATCTCTTTGATCGGCAGGTTCCTGCTGATCATCATGAATCCTCTGGGTATGGACATGCGCCGGCCCGGAGGCCCAGCCATTTGCTCTGCATCTCCAGAGGTACCACCATGCCTTTCCTTGACCAGAACTTCTGTAACCTAATTCTTAGGACTCTTATCACAAACATCCCCAACGTCACCTGCACAATCAATCAGCATATCCTGGCGCATTCTCGCAGCAAGTCGCGTCTTCTGTTCAGAGGTCTGGGGTGCAGGGTCCTCAAGGGTCCCGACAAGGACCCAACCTTTGTGACATGCAAAGGGTTTTGGCATATAGGGTTTAGGATTTAGGGGAATCTGGCCTGACATGAGACTTCTATACCACAGAAGTAGATGCATACGTACATATCTAAACGCCGTTCCATGACGCACAGTCCCCCTTGCCTCCCCTCCAAGAGGCCTTGAATTGAGGTGAGCTCCAATTAAAAGAGTTGGTGGGCCGCTTCATGCTGGTCTCTCAACCAACATGTGTCAGAAAATGGTAATGGTTCAGATACACATGCATCAAAACAAGCCGATGCGGATAGCGTTCCCTGTTGAGTGGAATCGACCCCGCCCTCTTCCGTTATTACGTGGCATGTTGACTGAATTAAGGTCGCCCTTTGGGCAGCCTAAATGTTAGGGGCTGTACCATAAAGGGTACCCTAAAACAAGCATGAATTTGGCAACCATCAAAATCCACGGAGGCTTAAGCGCGCTTACCCTCGACATCCGATCCAGGATTGCCTTCTCCATTGCTTCTTTGATGGCTTCTTCAGTGACCTGAGGACTTCTGGCATCTAGTGTATCTACCACTAAAGATCCGAGAGGAGTCCTTCTTTCACGGCTCAGTCGGAAACTCCTAGCATCCCCCTTAACATCCCCTACAGTAGTCCCCTGTATTATCCCCTATAAAACTCCCTTTACAAAGTTTAGACCCCAAACCCTAAACCTAAACCCTAAAGCCTCATTTTGTGACAACAACTGTTCAACGAGATTGTAGGGACGTTTCATTCGATTCTCCTTGGGCGTGGTGGCATATCTGGGAGTATCGCTGCCAGCCACCCGAAACTGCAGAGCCCAACCCTAAGGGTTTAGGGGTCAGGGTTCAGGGTTTTGGGTTCAGGGTCCAGGGTTTAGNNTTCGGGTCTGGGGCTTAGGGTTTAGAAATATTATGGCTCCTGTTCTCTTGGGCTGCCAAAATGGCCTGACGACGGATCGCAGAACTTGAGAGAATCGACAAGAGCTGAATATATCCGAAACAGGAGAACGCGTGCGACGCTAGGGATGAGAGGAGATGCCGAAAACGATCATGTCCTCATGAGTGTTATAGGTTGTTGGTGCATGGTTTGGAAATCTCCCACTGAAACGGAACTCGTCCAAATCGTGCATTGACGGAGGACAGCACAAATGCAAATGTTGAGGGCTCTCTGAGGCTGGAACCTTAGACCCTGAATTGGGTTCCTACTAATGTACGTGAAACTACCATACTGCGCATGCAGAGGTATATGCAGAATAGACAACAACTTAAATTAGTTGGTTCCGTAGCAGCAACCTAAAAGAATGTCAGTCTTCGCGCTTTTCGCACAGGAAAAAAATCCTTCACCTTTCGAGCGGTGTAGGAGCCTGAAAAATTGGCACCAGGCTTTGGGTTGCTCTTGTAGTAAACCATCAACCCAAACGAAGCCCTACTAAAGCCCACACATGAAACATCAGTCCGGAAGCCGAAAGTCCCGGAAGATCACGTGTAGCACGAGCCAATCTAGGGGGTGTAACAACGAATGACGCAGAGTTCATGAAGGATTTGGGACGCCTTGATTAGGAAGTTAGACGAAATCTACGAAATCTGCTTAGAATCCCGGATCTCCTCCTAGGCTGTCACTTGTTGAAGGTTTCTTTCTGAAGAAAGTCAAAGAGAAAAGTTCGAAGAACATCTGATTCGAATGAGCGAGCTCCCTTATTTTGTAGGCCCCAAACCCTGAACCCGAAACCCTATGTCATTATACAGGTTCTTACACAGGAGCTCATATCATCGACTCTCAAAGAAGTCTAATTCAGATTAAGGGTCTCCTTTAGCTTCCTAGGGTTTAGGGTTTAGG